CTTTTTTCGTGATTTCCTGCGAAACAAAGCAAAAAGGAGCATATGTCTATAGGACTTTTTTTCTTAGTTTTTTACTCCTCTACACGCTCCCGAAGTTTTGCCATTTAATTTGGAAACACCCTGTATATATACACGTAAATATTTTCCATTTGATAAGTAAAATTAACGATTGTAACAAGAATTGAACATACGCAAAAATGGTTAAATTTGCATATATTGCACACCATGTAATTAAATGAATAGAGAAATAGTAAACAATCTTTGTAACAAAACGGTGGCAAAAGAATATAATATATATATTAATAGAAATATCTAACATAATTATCATAATGCATTGGCTCAATAAATTAATATTAATATTGATATAATCGGCTTAATAAAAATATCAGTGGTTTATACCTAAAGTACGTTGCAGTTAACGTAATTGTATCTAATGTGAGAAAAAGTACAACCAGTTAGTATATGAGCATAAAGTGGGGTTATTGCATTAATGATACTTTTTTTAAAATAATTATTACAACAGAGAAGTTTTGTAATTTAAGGACACGGGAATAGGTTAAAACAATTGTAGATAATCTGCAATAATAAAGAAATTATTATTAAGAGTTTGGGATATATAAAATAATTATTCTATTGTATCACGTTGTGCCAGTGCGGTACGGTAAACTTTTTTCAAAAGCTATCGTGGAATGATTAACGTACATAAATTACGAGTAAAAAAAATTATATGTACATTTGATTGAGCAATTAATTACGTATTTCATATATGTTAATGCTCTCTTCTTTTATGTCTGTTTAATTATTGCTTTACTAAAATATATTAACATACACGATAAAACTTACAAAGTAAAATTTCAATCAAACTTCTATGTTACTGTAATTAGTAATAGAACATAGCTATGGAAGGAAGCTATATAATACAACGATAAAGTACTAAGAGAAGAAAAATGATTAAAAAAACTGACTTCTTTTTTATAAGCATACATATAGGCTTAAATTAAATAATGTCATTTTATATTCCTGTTACAAGGTGTATTAATGTCCTTGTCAACATTAACTCGGTGCTAAAATGGTTATAAAGAATCTCGTTAGGACATTTTAGAAGGAAAGGAGTGGCTTATCGGTGCTCCTACTTTCATGATATTAATAGTTTAGATAATTTTAGACCGCTTTTATGAACGCTTCATAATGTATATACCTCATTGCTTCACATGTCATGTGGAATATTTTGAAGAAATAAAGCCTTTAAGAGAGAAAAGATAAATCTGAAAAAAAAAGTATATCGTTTTCACCGATGCGTCGCACTCACTTCAAAGTAACAGACAACTGCGTCTGAATTTGAATTCAAAATTACATTTTATTGTATCTTAATATGGACTAGCATATACCATATACACATTCAATAGCTCACTTATAGTTTATAACTTATTATACACTCACAAACATTGATAAAGACAGTCATGATATCTTGTAGCATGTTTCATGACTGGTGAAGCTACAGCGCAAGCTCTATATATGTGTGTAAGATATAATTATTTTTATTTATCATGAATGGCTGGGTTCTTTTTTTCAATTACTTCATAACGATTCTGACTGCAATTTTGGAATTTTTTTCTACCATTCATACTGACTTTGCACGATCATCATTCTTCATTTTGTAAGGCTCGATGATGCAAAACATGCTTTGTCATCAGCGAAACATTTCATAAATTAGACATTTACTGATGTCCTCGTTAAAAAGAACGAGTGTTGACGCAAATGTCTTGCAACGCTTGGAAATAATTACACGACGAAATCTTATTTCAATAAACTGTATGCTTATTTAAATTTATAAACGGAACAAGTTTACTAGACCTCTCTTCGCATTCGTTCATATTTAACATAATTTACCAACAATCGTAGAAAATTCAAAAAAAATTCTATAGAAAACGAATTTTTAGAGTGAAGATCAATAGAATATCAACAGATAATATCAAATGAGTCTATATTAATTTATGTTCGTAAATACTTTAATAAGCCGTACTTCTATAATTTATATGCCTTTTAAGTTATTAAGATAAAAAAAATCTGTTGTTTTTTAATATAAAATTTGAATCAACAAACGAAGACTGTATAATAATGACGATTTAATAATATTAGATTTCAACTCTAACGAACATACAAGTAATGACCACGCAAGGCCAGGTTGATAGTATAAGAATTGCAGATATCATTATTAAAATGTGGCTAGACACATTCAGTCAGGGTGGCTTGCGATGGCTGAGTATTAATTTATTATGTATATATATATATATACTTTTCTTTATTTATATTTATATATATATATTCATCTTATTCTTAGCGTAATGACTAGATAAGTTTCAGCCACCCAATATATAACACATCTTGTTTGATCCCATATATTATATTCATACCACTCTGTGTTGCTCATCGAATATATGGTTAAAATTTCCATGCCAAAATTCATTGCTCTAACGTATATCACGTAGTCACGATTTATTCTAGACTCTGGTGATTCCGACAAAAGATAATACTTTCTGCATATTTGTTTAGATATTTGTCCGTAATGACGGTTCGAATGAAGGTCTCCACACTGATATATCGGTTCCCCATGATATGCAATATCGTAATATACTTCGCTACACCTTCCTCAATAAAGTAATGGAGAATTATATATTTATATATTTATATATTTATATATATTATATATATTTTGTGACATTTCTCACGTAACTATCCTCACGAGACTTTCTGTACGCAACGATTTACGGTACTGTGCATTATTTCCGTTTTTACATCATTAAGTATCATAGACAACGAAAAAATTGTATATACATATTCTTTATCCACGCGTCTCACAGAGAATTGTCCCATAGGAAATATCACGTCTATGGCAAATAAGAGATCTTTGAAAATATCAGTATAATTGAAGGATTGATTTAAATTCAGATACGAAGAATTCATGTCCATTATGTATACAAAGCTAAATGCCCATAACACAATTTCATTCTTTTGAAAATTAAATTTTAGTTTATTTGTTATAAAATTATCGCTACTCATTATTTAAACAAGTTTACGTATATGAATTTTTACAATACGTTATGATAATTATGTGTGAACATAAATTCTATGATTTATACGGGCAGTTTAATAAAGAAAAGTTCATGGTTTTTTGGAGAGCGTATTCATTAAGTGAAAGATGTTTAATTAACATGCCTCGCAATTTTGATCCTTTTATAGATAGAAACAATTCT